GCCCCTGGACTGGAGCCATTTTAAAGTGGAGCCCGAGCAGCCCTTGCAGAGGAACTGCCTCGCGGCCTCACTCCCTGAACCTTTGAAATGTTTGAACAGGGCAGGATAACCTTTGGACTAGGCCAAACCAACACTGTCGTACAAACAATCATTCGGAAAGCTAGCAGGAAAACAGACATCCTGATATTATGGACTTTCTTTATAATCAGTAACTAGCCATGTATGGATAGCTAAAGAGTAACTTAGCTTGCTAGCACCAATGGACATTCCTTTCTTCTATTCATGTAATTATTTCCTTTCCTTTTTCTCATAAAAACCCCTCGCCTTCACCCTAAAATCAGGACACCATTTGGGTTTCTAAGCAGATCTATGCCCCCAGCTGCCATTCTGTGATCTAAAATGTTTATTGCCCTTTCGTTTTCACCTTTTTTAAATTTTTTTGTTTTTAGGTTAACAACCTCATTCCTTGGCCCATCCAGGGATGTACTCTCCAGGGCCGCATGGGGTGGGTGGCTTCAGCCCACGGGGCAGAAGAACGGGTTCTAAGAAGTGTCGAGTCCTGCAGCCAGGCCTGGTCTCCTCACCACCTGGCCCTCGGGTTCAGGTTGAGTCAGAAACCAGACTGCGAGCTCCCTCGGGGGTGCAGTGGGTTCCGGAGGTTCCCCGTCAGGGCGCCAGCCCCGCCCACGTGGCTTATGGCCGCGGGGGACTCTGCACCTGGACTGAGCGGCTCTAGTTCGCTTGGAGGCCGAGCTACGCCGACCGCAACATAGGCCGGAAGCTCTGGACGCGGAACTACTGTTCACTCTCCTGGAACCCCAGCTGCACCTTTTCCAAGACTGGCTTCTCTCAATAAACTTTGCTTCCGCTAAAAAGAAAAAGAAAAAGAAAAAGAAAAAGAAAAAGAAAAAGAAGAAAAAGAAAAAGAAAAAGAAAAAGAAAAAGAAAAAGGGGTGACTGCAGGGGGTGGATAGAGGTGGAAAAAGGAAAAAAAGAAGGAAGGAAGGAAGGAAACCAGAGGAAAGAAAGAAAGAAAAGAGAAAGAAATAAAAGAAAGAAAAGAAAGAAAGAAAGAGAAAGGAAGAAAGAAAAGAAAAGAAAGAAAAGAAAAGAAAAGAAAGAAAGAAAGAAAGAAAGAAAGAAAGAAAGAAAGAAAGAAAGAAAGAAAGAAAGAAAGAAAGAAAGAAAGAAAGAAAGAAAAAG